TACCCACCCATTCAAGGCAAGTATCCAAATAACAAAAATAATAAATTATCCACCCTCCCCTACAGGTGTTTATCTTTTTTTCATAGGGGGGGTATATAATTGTCACCCAATGGCGTTTTTTGAGTGATCCGCGTGGGGGGGAGGGTAAGCGAAGGTGTGTCTTTCAGCACTAGAAGCCTCACCCCAGCGACATCCGCGAGACAACAGAGAGGGGTGGAGGTAGAGGGAGAGGAGGTGAGGTGTAGAGGAGGAGAGATGAAGAGGAGAAGAGGAGGTGAGGAGGTGAGGTTGTGTAGAGGTGTATGATCTGGGAAGCAAGCGGCGGACCAAACAAGGGCTGGCTCGGTTAGGAAGGAAGCTGGGGGGGAAGGTTGGAAGTTGCTCCTGCCCCCCGACTCCCGGCCAGAAAGGAGGAAAGTAAGACCACCGCGACGTTTACGCGAAACACTACGCCACTTTGGGACTAGCGCTAATCTACCATAACAAACCCGCTGAAACGAATCTTGGGGAAGGAACCATCGACCTCTAACCCTCTCTCTTGTTAGTTTAGCGAATCTGCAGGTTGACTAAAAGCTAAGTCTTTTAAGTTAACTCTAAACTACCTTAGTTAGCTAAACTGTTTCCTTGAACACGTTGTTTTGTGGTTAACTAGCTTAGTTACTTGTGGTGATAACCTATCCATCAGCTCAATCCGTAGTTAGCCAGTTCTGTATTTACACGTCCCTTGTTGTTGTCTTGCGTCTTAGACGCTGAAATCTCAGACAGCCTGGTCATCTCATCTGCCACGTCCACTTCACAAGATTCAATCCACCCCTGTCCGTCTCGGCTATCACGTCGTGAGGTGGAGGACACCAGACACCAGCGGACACTCCCGCGAGAATACCTATCTCCCACGTCTAATAGAGAACATCGTATGCGTGACATTCTTCTATGAGTCTTGAAGGAAATTGAGTCTGGGTATTGCGCGTTAGGAGCAGGACGAAACAGCCGAAGGGAAAACAGGTCTCAAACAAAACCAACAAAATCAGCATTCCAGATAACCCGAACGCTGACGGCTGCATATATCATGCTACAGAGGATATAGGGAGACCTGATCGAAACCAAAAAGCATGCAGCCTTCGTAGAGGGAAACTTGTTTCACCCCTTGTTATTCATTCATTCACCTGGAAGTTTTAAACCAAGTCTGGCAAAGTGAAACCATCCTGGCGCCGTACTTATCCACAAAACATAATGGTATCATTTGAAACCTACGCAAAGCAATATGCCTGAAGGCTGAGGGTTTGAGACCCTGGGTGTATATCGACGATTCGATTTGAATCTTCCTGGCCTCATAAATATTTGTCGCATGGATCCGCAGCGCACGGGCGCAAGTTTCACTGGCGCGTCCCCTTTTCTTTGCCCAGATCAAAACATCGCGAAAAAGTCGCCACTCTAATTTTCGAGAAACAGCTCTAAAAAAAACTGCCCCTGACAAAATTCGCGTCTGACTGGTTCTCAGGAACTTTCGACTGTTCAACGAGGGCGGGGGGCTCGTCTCCTTTGCAGCTCCCCCGCATCATCCAATCTATTATTCTATGCAGGAAGGTCGACCTAACCTACATAGGACATTAATAACAAACTGTTAGAGCGATGCGAAGTTTGTGGCGGATGATTGGATGCCAGATGACAGGAGATTTTCCCCGCGTTCGGCTCTGCCCGCGAGTCCAGCCAGGGACTCAATTAACAATGGCATGCCGAAGGATGTAGTCAGCTAATTAAAACGTCACACCCAAGCGAACGCAACACCGAATCTAAACATGTAACTAATTAACAAATCTCTCAATGTGTGAAAATGCCATCAATACGCAATAAAAAGTTAAGAAACCCTATTATAGAAGAATTGAACTCACTATTCAGCTGTTAGAAAGAAATAACATTGATTCATGAAGCAACATGTTTTTATGATGTATTTTCACTTCACTCTTACATTATTAAATCAATGTACTAATCTACATGCAAACTCACAAAAGAGGTGGAATGATAGTTCCAGTGAATTTTAAAATCAATGAAGAATTATCTCTTGCACTGGCATCTGTTGAGAATATGATATTTCATATTCTTGTTGCATGATTCACTATATTTCTTCTTATCACATCAGTAAAAACTAAGTTAGATTTAATGAAATGTAGATTTAAGCTTTAAATAAAAATTTCTTGATACTACAATTATAAAAGTCAAATGTTGATGATATAAAAATTATAATAAAGTAATTTAATAAATTAAAAATTTACTATTAAATATAAAATTTAATTTTAAAATATATTTAACTTTATATATTTTAATTTATTTTTAATATTATTATTTAATAAATAAATATTAATTAAATTATAAAAATTATATTTAAATTTATAAAATTTTTATAATTTTATTTTAATTTAAAATTAATTAATAAATTAATTATATAAATTAAATATATTTTTATTTTATTATAAATATAATTAAATTTAAAAATAAAATAAATTTAATTTTTTATATTTTATATTTTATTAATTAAGTTAATTAATAATAAATTATTAAGTTAATATTTTTAAATTTTTAATTTTTAAAATTATATAATTAAAAATATTATAGTATTTTAAAATAAATAATAATTTTTATAATTTAAAAACTTTATTATAAAAATTTTTTATTAAAATATAAATATTATTTATATTTAATATATTTATAATTATAATATTTAATATAATAATATTAAAACTTTTTATATAATATCAATAATAATAATATATTATAGAAATAATTAATTAAAATTTTCATAAATATTAAAATAATATTTTTTATATATTTAGATCTAAACTTTATCAACTACACTTTTTAATTTAATTTATAAGAATTTATATATATAATTAACTAATATAATCAATCATTTAATGAGACAGATCATCTATTAAGATAGATCTTCACTATATAATACATTTAACTACTTAATTGATCAAATGTCAAAATGTCAGCAATTAAAAATAATAATTCTTTATACAAGAAAGAAAGACTTACTTTAGCTATTGAAGCAATTAAAAAAGATCAAATTTTTAGTTATAGAGCTGCTGTCAGATTGTACAACATCTCTCATTTCACTCTTTGTCATTAACTTCACAGCTGTACAACACAAAAGAACTCTTAGTTAAGAAATTGAAAACTGATCTCTATTAAGAAATTATCTTTTGTTTAGTGAATAATCTTCATAAATGAAAGTGATCAGTCTCTCTGAGTAAGCACTGTATGAGAAACAGCTAATCTTCTTGTCAATTGAGACAACTCTTTCAATTCAAAAACTGTTAATGAAAGCTGAATTAAACAATTTATTGATCATCATTCTGAGTTAAAAACTTAGTTCTTTCAATCATATGATCATCAATGAGCTCTATGTGAAGATTCTAAGATTATTCAAGAATGGTTTGAGCTTGTACAGAATACTATTCAGAAATATGATATTGTACAGAAGAATATATACAACTTTGATGAGATTGAGTTTCAGATGAGAGTTATTGAAACAGTCAAAATGATTACTGAGTCAGAGAAGACTTTTCATCTGAAGTTTGTACAGTCTGAAAATACAGAATGAGTCATCATTATTGAGAGAGTCAAATTAATAGACTGATTATTATCTTTAATGATCATTCTCAAGAAGAAGTTACATCAGACTTCTTGATTTGAGAATTGGCTAACATATAACTGAAGGACTGAAATCAGTGAAAATGAATGAACAACTGATAAGCTGGGTTTGATCTGGCTTAAAGAGATGTTCAATAAACATACTCAAGTCTGTATGATCAGCTAATATTGACTCTTGATTCTTGATAGACATGACAGTCATAATGATTTTGAGTTTGATCAGTTTTACACTCAAAACTTGATTATTTCTCTTTATATGCCAGCTCATTCCTCTCATCTCTTACAGTCTTCAGGTGTTGTTTGTTTTTCCTCATTGAAGCAAGCATACAGAAAAGAAGTTGAGAAGAGAATGAGACTTGACATCAATTATATTGATAAGAATGAGTTTTTAACTATCTATTCTTCAGTTCATACAGCAGCTCTGAGCAAAAAGAATATTCAGAGTGAATTTAGAGCTACAGAACTAGCTCTATACAATTCAGAGCAGGTTCTTTCCCAGCTCAATACCCAGATACATACACTAACCCCTTCAGGGACCTCACATAGCTCCCAGGCCTCCTGGCCACTGCCACACCTCATAATATATGACAACTGGAGCTTCAGAGTGAGAAGATTAAGAAATATCTCAAGCATTGTACACAAAAGTCCACCCAGTCCAACCAATCAAGCTCTGGAAAAGCTAGTCAAGGGATGTCAGATGACTATGCATAGTGCTATTATTTTGACAAGAGAAAACAAAGAGCTGAAGGCTGTAAATGCAAAGCAAAAGAGAAAGTGAGAAAGATGTTGTACATACATAAGCCAGGAAGAGGACTTGATTGTTCAAGAAGGGGTGGATTGTGTACAAAGAGACATTGCAGAGAAAAGAGGGATAATAGAGCAGTCTGGTAAGCAATCACAAAAGCAAGCAGCACCACAGTGCAGTGGATGTGGTGTTATAAGACATACTATTCATACATGCTCCCAGTATACAGGGAATAATTTATAATGTAATTAGCTGGTTTTACTATCTAGTTGTGGTGATATTCAATTAGAAAGAGGATGGTGGAGACCTGTCTCAGTAGGTGATCTGTCTCGCTAGGTGATTGATTACATTAATTAACTAGTTATTAGTTAATATTCACAAAGGTATTCAATAAATAAAAGTAAAATATAACATTATATATAACTTTATAAATTGAAAAGACAACTTTATTTTATTAATAAAAATTGCAAGTTTAATTTTAATTTTAATTTATATATAAAGTTTCTCTATTTTTTATTGCATGTTGAAGGTATTCTCACATATCAAAGCAAGTTGAATTCGAAAGTTGAGACTTAACGCAGAAGTGTGACCTGCTTAGTTGGTTGAATTACGTTAGTTTAACTAATAATAAATCTGTCAAGTGCCCAAGCGTCGTCACGGGGCAATTATTTAACTAGTTGAACCCTTCCACCCCGCGACAGTTAACTTACTGGCGGTTCCGCCCCGGGAGAACAACTACTCCATCCGCCAGAATCAAGGCCGACCAACAAACCGAGAGAAGCATCAAAGGACTAACCTGAATTCTTCCTATTCACTAAATTGCGGAGCAACTGCGAATGCTCTCAAAGCTCGCGGGAAAATCACTCTGCACAGCCCGTTCCTCCGTTTCTTCCCTTGCTCGTGAATCTATTGCTGCCCACAGTAACCCTGCACGAAACATCTTCTTCTCACTACCGCACCAGTCTCCCCCTGAACATCAGCATCCTATGCAGCCCTGGCACACCATGACACATTCACGTAAACTATCATCTTTCCCCCCGTTATCAACTTCCACCTTTAAGGCTCAGGCAAATGACTTTTTGTCCTTCGTTAATGCATCTCCGACCCGTAAATTAACCCCCCCCTCCCTTCCCCCTTCTCCTTTCCCCCTCTACGTATTTATATCTTATTTCCTATCAGATTAAATGTATTGCTGACTGGCGTGTATCCATGGATAGCCTTCCATGCCGTTGCTTCGGCATCCAAGCGTCTGGTAGACGCTGGATTCAAGGAGGTGAAGGTCAGTACCTAAACTGACACACACACGAACTCACCCACCCACACCCACCCATCCTCGGCAAACGCATCCATCATTGAAATGAAGAAATGTTATGCTAAGCAAACCTTTTTATTACTTCTATTAGGAGAGAGATTCCTGGTCATCCACCTGCAAGCCTGGTGGAAAGTACTATGTGACCCGCAACGGTTCCACCATCATTGCTTTTGCAATTGGCCAAAAATGGAAAGTTGGTGTTCATCCACCCCAAGCTGATAATTTATTTGTCTCCATTATCATATATAAACAGAAGTCATGCCTTAGACATGATGATTTCCTTCAATGATCCATACTAACGGATAGATTTTCATCCCGGTGCCCAGCCCGGAAACTCCATTTCCATGATTGGTGCCCATACCGACTCTCCATGCCTGAGAATTAAGCCAGTCTCGAAAAGGACTGCTGATGGCTTCGTCCAAGTTGGTGTGGAGACGTACGGTGGCGGTCTCTGGCATACATGTAAATATCCCCTCCTCCATAAGCTAATCTAGGAAGGTGCTTGGGTCGCTAAATTTGCACAACAGGGTTTGATCGCGACTTGGGCGTCGCTGGCAGAGTCATGGTGAGAAATGCAGACGAATCAATCGAGGCAAAATTGGTCCACATTAATCGACCAAGTATGTGTGCTCCCCATCCTCGGCCATGCCACCCCATACACTTGAAGCTAACACTATATTGCTCAGTTCTACGCATACCCACACTTGCAATTCATCTTGAACGGCAAGAGACATTCTCCTTTAACAAGGAGACCCATTTATTTCCCATTGCCGGCTTGGTCGCTGCAGAATTAGCCAGGAAAGACAAAGATCCAAAGGCCAAAGAGTATCTAGAAATTCGATCCAAAGAAAAAAAAAACAACGGCAACAGCGGAAACAACGGAAACGACGCGGCCTCCAACGCCACATTCTCCCCCCTCAAACCAACCATGGAACGTCACCACCCCTTCCTCATCGAGCTAATCGCCTCTGAACTCTCTACCACACCTCATGATATAGTTGACTTCGAGCTTCTCCTCTACGACACCCAAAAAGCCTGCCTAGGCGGCCTGCTAGACGAATTCATCTTCTCCGCCCGCCTCGATAACCTCAACATGTCCTTCTGCGCCATTATGGGCCTCATAAACTCCCTCGCACAGCCAGGCGCACTGGACAAAGAATCCTCCATCCGCCTCGTCGCCCTCTTCGACGACGAGGAAATAGGCAGCCGTACCGCACAGGGCGCATTCTCCAACATCCTCACCGCAATCCTGCATCGCCTATCCGTTCTCCCCGCAGAAACATCAGCATCCGCAAAGGCACCACCACCAGACCTCTCGACTGCCTACGAGCAATCTCTCTCAACTTCCTTCCTGGTCTCCGCGGACATGGCACACTCCGTACACCCCAACTACTCCGTAAAATACGAATCGGACCACAAGCCCGAAATGAACAAGGGTCCCGTCATCAAAATCAACGCCAACGCTTTCTACGCCACAAACTCACCCGGCATCGTCATTCTGCAGGAATCCGCACGACTGGCCGGCAAGAACCACCACGACGACCAGGCGGGGTCCACCTCGGCAACATCACCATCGTCTGAAACACCGTTGGAAGGCGTCCCGTTACAGCTATTCGTCGTCCGCAATGACTCGAGTTCCGGCAGCACCATTGGACCTATGCTCTCTGCGTCGCTTGGGGTGAGGACAGTGGATTTGGGGAATCCGCAGTTGAGTATGCATAGTATTCGGGAGATGGGGGGGTCGAATGATGTGGGTTATGCGATTCGGTTGTTTGAGAGCTATTTTGAGCACTATACGGAGTTGGCGGGGAAAATTTTGGTTGGTTGATTTTTGATGGTTTTTATGGGTTTTTTATGGGGAAGGGGTGAAAGGGGGAATTTGTTTTAAGGGTTTAAAATGGTGGGGGGGCAGGGGGTGGTTGTAGGAAAGACCGAGGATCTATGCGTGTGAAGGAGAAAGTATATTTTTTGGTGTCATGCACACAACCACAGTTTTCAGGATGAAATAATTTCTCCCTACAATGTACGCCTAACCAACATCCATCATCAGGAATCATTTATGTTTTTTCTTGTGCCAAATGAAAGCATTTACCCCACAATTCCCATTCCTTCTCGCTTCGATTTATATCGAAACGGTCGACCATCAGCCTCCCGGGTTAAGTAATATGTTGGGTCAAGATGAACAACATGTCGTATTTCTTTCCCACTTGCTGATGAAATGTCGGGGACGTCCCCTAACCCAATAAAACTGGCCATGAGGGAATCAACAGGCCCTCACAACTAAGTAATATGTACGTCTACGAAATTATGACATCGCACGTGAAAAACTAGAAACGAATTCTATTGCAAAGCTCTAGAGACCAGATCTGGTGAACATCTGACGGTTATGGGTGTGGATTAGGAGAGGCGGCTGTCACAAGATATGTATGTTACTTACAACGTGTTTGGGTTTATAGATTTAAAATCACTACACGCATTCTCCGAAGGGAGGAGATCGCACAAGTATTGACAAGGGCTGTCCTCCGAGCCCTCGAAACGGTATAGGAACAAGTCAAAAAGGCCACAGAAAGGAATAACAACTGAGTGAAAGTAAGCTCCCTTAGGCTCTGGAATGCAATGAAATATTAAAAAAAGCTGACTGCGCCAGTTGATAATCCTGTTGGGGGGGGGGGGGGGGGGGAGGGTCGACATCGTTTATGTTCAGAACCACTTTGATAGTTTTTTTCAGGTAGATTGGAGGGCAAGACTGATGTCATCACCCCGTGTGACTGCAAGGGGAGCAGCACTCCAAGGTCTCAAACCGACAATGGTGGAAAGCCGCAAAAGTCGATGGAGTTATGGGATTGGGGTACATCGAGCTTTTGATCCTGACCTCGACAGCGATGGAAATGAGGACAGCTTCCCGGCAAATGGAATGCGCGTTACAGGATGTATCCAATGGCTTATCAGATGGGTAAGGAAAATCGGGGAAGTTAGAGCTGTTAGTTCGCTATTCACAATTCACCCCCCTCGAGATTTCAACAGGATGACAACGTCAAAGAGAAGGCCAAATGGATCCACGGATGTATAACCATGAAAAGAACCGGCAGTGCTACAGAGACTGTTGGTGACCGACCTTCTGTTGAATTGCCCCAGGGGGAAAAGTTAACGACACAGGCAAGTCCAGGTTAATCTAATGGGCCCCACTCCATGAGAAGAGATCGACTAATTCTCATAGTAAATTTACCGCCAGGATTCCATTCCAGAACTTTAAGAGGAGAAAGAGGTAATGATTGGTCATAAGAACAGGGTCAATGAAAAGACAGTGGGAGTTCGAAGCGAGATGCGACCCAAAAAGAACTAGTTGGCTTCATGGAGGCGGAGTAGTTATCAAGGTGACGAGAACTAAAAGCAAAAGCTTATTCAACACTCATCCTGGAATCGAACGGGAAAGATGGCGAGAAGAGGTTGAGGAAGATATCCAGTTGGGGTTGTTGCTTGGATGAAGTTGGGAATTAGAGATAAAACAATATTGTTAGTGTTAACTATTGAATGAAAATAGAGTTCGGGGGAAAGAAGATCCGCGATGTTCTGGACAGGCGGCGAACGACAAGAGAACGCAGCCGCAAGGAGGAGGCTTCCATACCAAAAAACTACGGGACCCAACTTTATGCCAATAGAGAAACGTCCAACTTGCGAACTCCTTTAATCTGGGAACGTTTCTTCTCTTGCTTCCATTTTCAAGCCACTCAGAGGCTTTTTTCCCAAATAGCTAGCCCTCAAAAGCAATACGATTTTAATAGTTGACATAGTTCCGCACTTCCTTGGAGCCCCCATGTCCCCTATGTCCCCTCTATGACCACTCCCGATGTCTTTCGAGATGCGCTGTACATCGCTGACGTCTCAAATATTCCCTACGATGCCCGTGATGATAATGATGATGATGATGATGATGACGATGACGATGATGGAGACAGAGATCGTCCCGTAGTGTCCGGGAGGTCTTACCGGAGGGCTGTCTATGCGAATTCGAAGATCGTCCTGCTTGAAAGGTTGCTGCGCGACCTGGATATGTTGATCTACTGCGAGCTGTCTGCCGTGTATTATATGGAGTACGAAGCTTTATTTTCATCCACGATAATCTGCGACTAATACTGTTACTAATGCGCTTTTGATTTGCAAAATTAGTTGCTCAATCCTCTATTTCGCCATCCGCGCCGTAGTCCAATTCATTTTCTTCACGCCTAAAGCCGGGCAATTGCCCGAATCATCAACAAATGAGCCTTCCATCGTAGCTGTGTTTGCGAGCAACATATTTTGCATTTTATTTCATTATATATCATCCAGTCCTACGGCCCACGAGACTTCCCGAGGCTATTTCCACGGGGGACTTTTCATCGACTTCATCGGGCAAAAAGGTCCCATATCAAAGTTCCGCCTATTCCTTCTCGACCTTCTGATCCTTGCAATGCAAATTATCATGTTGTGTGTCATCCTAGAAAAGGAGAGAACGAAACTTCTCTCGAAAGCGCCTGAGATCGCAAATTCCACGCCTAATTTGCAGGACCATGATTCTGAAGAACGGGGGATGCTGCGAGAGGACGAGCACTTACCAGGAATGAGTGATGAGACGACAACAGAGAGTATTGAAATGCGAGAGTTACCCTCTCCAAATCAATCTGTGGACAGAAGTGGTGTTCGACTCCTTGAATTCGAAGCCGGACGGGGAACTCCAGGGTCGGCCAGAGATAGACATCCCCGCGACCCCTTTCTATCAGCTCAGATACCAATTGCAGATATTGATGTTCTGCAGAGCCTTCGGAATCAGTGGTACAGTGGCCCCCCAACAACAAATGCAGGCCAGTCAAGTAGTTCCCAACCCCCATCGAATCAAACTGGCATGGTGATACCTTTTCTCCACCGGCGATTTGGATTCCAGCTACGCACGATTTCATGAGGGCACACACATACATAAGCAACACCTATTCAGGCATGACGGCCCGATCCGCGTTTTCATGTACACGATTTCAAAAGCTTTACACATTTTACGGCGTTGGGGTCCGGTTGAACACACCTTGTTTTGTCTCCTTAACGATGCATACATTTTTGTTGTTCTATATTCATAATTCTATACCACGTTTGTATAATCAATGCCATTCATATTTTATGTCCATACTGTATGCAGTCTACAGTTCACATCCCGAGGCCTTCCGGAAGGAATAGAAACAAAAATGGAGAGAGAATAAGCAGAGAAGATTCTAGTATTTAAGAACATGATCAGGTATCTGAATGCCAAAAGAGCATTCACTTACCATGGAAAACAATTCCACCTATATCAAGTACCACAAAAACCAAATACAAACGCAATGCTTCTCACACGTATTCATACAAACAAACAAACAAACAAACAAACCCAAACCCAAACCTATGGCGTTACCACATCCCCACCATCCCTTCCCCCATCCTCCCTCCCATCCTCCACCTTTGGCTTTATCCTTCGATCCAAAATCTCATCCACAATCCCCATCTCCAACGCCTCCTTCGCCCCCATAAAATAATCCCTCTCCATCCACTTCTCAATCTCATCCAGCGACATCTCCTTCTTCAAATGTCTCTTATAAATCTCGTTAAGCTGACGGCGGACTCGGAGGATCTCTTTGGCGTGGATAGCAATGTCTGTCGCTTGTCCAAAATAGCCGCCGGAGGGCTGATGGACCATTACGGAGGAGTGGGGGAGGCAGAATCGCTTTCCGGGGTGGCCACCGCAGAGGAGGAGGGAGCCCATGGAGGCCGCTTGGCCGACGCAGATGGTGCTGACTGGGGCGGAGATGTATGTCATTGTGTCGTAGACGGCGAGACCTGTTGGAGGGGGAGATTTCATGGTTAAGAAAAAATGGGAAAATGGGATGAATGAAGTTAGATATGTTAGACTGCTTGCGCACCGGCTGTTACTGATCCTCCAGGTGAGTTTATGTAGAGGTGGATTGGCTTCTCTGGGTTATCTGCTTCGAGGAAGAGGAGTTGGGCAACGATGGATGCGGATAGGGTTTCGTCGACTTCTCCGTTTAGGCAGACTATGCGCTCCTATAAATACCGTTATCATCACAAGGCCCCGTCTCATACAATTGGGTGTGCCGAAGTAGTCAAAACATGCCTTCAGGAGCCGGGAGAAGATGTCATCTTTTGTGATATATTGTCAGCTTCGATTGCTTGGTAGGGAAACAAAATCCGTCAGATACTCTCAGTGAGTACATGTATGCCAGCCACCTCCCTGATCAGTCAGTTTCTTGAGTTATATTCAGCACTGGAAGATCTGGAAACTCACCACAGTCTCAGTCACGAATGGCGTTGGTGTCCACCCCCGTGGCGGAGTTAGATTTGGTCTGCTTGAGTAGTTTCTGGTCGTTGCGACGGAAATTCGCCGCACTGCCGGCCTGAGCCATCTGAGGGAATTCATTGAACGTTGTGATATTCAATTGATCAAGAATTAACGGATGTAATGATGCATGGGAAACCCAGTGGTTGGTTGTTCATGGGTGAATTAGATGTTGATAAGAGTAATCGTAGCTTTATTTTAAATGTCGATGCCAAGCCTTAAAAATTTAGTCCCTTAACCACAGCAATAACTAATTGAAAATATAGCAATGGACTCATTACCGTGACTAGAGTTCCCAGTTCCTCTTTACAGCGTGGGCAGCGCAAGCAATGAGTTCAATATGCTCATACTCATACTGCCACGTTTCCTACGCATCATGGCGTTTGAAAGCCTTTCGTCGCCAGGCCCTTGAAGCTGCCGCTGGTCCTTTTGCACCATTCAGCTCACGGAGCTTCACAACCAGCTCCAGCTTCCAATTCCCAAAGCCAAATCCCAATCAAAAGAAACGGCGCGGGAATCCAAAACGAGAAAGAATACAAGAGCTCGACATGCTCGACAGGCTACACACTGAAATCTCAGGGTTCGTCGAAGAATTAAAGAATAAACCACGAACTGTAGAATCATCGGAAGCTACCGCTCATAATGAACAAGAAAGCGCCCCGGGACAGCCTACACAGTTGAAGGATATACCACCTCTACATGAGCGACCTTCACAGTCCCTCCCCAAATCCCCCATCGTCACAAGGCTAGCACAGAGAGGTACCAAATCGAAATCCCGCGCCACCAAATTAGATATCGACCGCCTAAAATACAACCCATGGGCCCAGATTCTAGCAAGCCCTGTGCGCATGTGTGTCGCAACTGGTGCCCGAATTCCAGAAAAATTGATGGGAGATTGGGGACTAGTGCAACATCCGGAAACATGTGCATTTTGGCTGACGCCCGTGGACTTGGTTCAAGAGGAACTTAAGCAAGCAAGTGCGAAGAGAATACCAGCGCCTCCAGCAGAGCGCGATGAAGGTGCTGAAGGGGACTCTGATTCTGTGCCCCATCAGACGAGACCTAATGTTCCTAGCTTCTATATGACCAACACTGTGGAGCTGATTGATGCTGTTGCGAAGTTGAAAGGGGATCGGATACCACGACTAGTCCCGAATAATTGGAAAGTGCCCAGGGGAACTCTGTCGCGGAATGCGAGATATGTTTTTAGAAAGGATTTGCCGGTGTTTGTTTTGGATCATACGAGGGAGGTGGTGCTTCGGTGGTTGAAGAAGGTGAAGGCGTTGCAGTTGGCAGGTGAGATATCGGGCGGTTTGACTGTAATGGATGTGGGAACGGAGACGATTGGGAAGGATTCCTTGCAGGAGAGTCTGCGGAAATTGGGGGACTTGGAGCATGCGGCTTGGGGTGCGGTGTTCATATCGAGAAGCACCAGAGTACAGGGCAAGAACACCGGTACTCAGGGAAAAGAGCAAGCTAGAGGAGGGGACGACATCTCTCCTTCTGCTAGTTTAGCAGCAGATCCGAGAAACAAGTCAACATTGGCAAACTCCTCTATTTTCCCGGAGTCTGACTCGGAATCAGCTAGCGTGTCGGACTCTCTCCCTAAATACATTACTCTTCCAAGCACTGGTTCGATGGTGCCGGTGTTTGATCTGACGATGCTCCTGACAGAAGAGCAACTCGAGGCGCTTTGCCAACATGCAGAGGTATTCCGTAATCCTGCTGTCTTCTATAGACCAGGCAGCAGAGCGCCTGTTTCCATGATCTCGTGGCTCTGGAGACTCAAGCTTTATATGCTGAGGCAAGATAACCTTTGAGGACGATGGTTGATGCTCGGACCCCCTTATCATTTTATTTTCCCCAAAAAATGTTTTTGTATGTATACCTTGGTGACTTGTTTCATTGCATTACTAGAACCTATAACAAAATGGGGACATGTAACATTATTTAGGTTAAATAGACTATGGAAATGACAGGCTTCAAAGAACATAGATTATTTAGAGATCCAACCCAAGAGCCCAAAACAGTGGTTATAGTCTAAATACCACTAATCTATAGAGAGAATAATAAGAGTAAATAATGCTCAAATCCCTCTAGAACACATCCCATCAATACCATATCCAACGAACACAATGGGAAATATAAAGCACAGGTCTTGCCACAATATCTTCAACAAAAGCCAACCTCCCCCAACAAACCAAACCCATCCCTACGCCGCCTCAAGCAAATCCTTCAACCCATCAACGTAGGCCGCCGGCCTCAACGACCCCGTCGTAAAATCCTCCTTATTATTCACCCCAGTCAAAACTGCCAACGTCCCCCCCAGGCCCCCTTCAATACCAAACCTAATATCCGTATCCAATCGATCCCCCACCATACACGCCTTCTGTCTTTTAAGCTTAAACTTCCCCTCGATCGCATCCATCATAGCCTGACTAGGCTTCCCCAATGAAACCGGCGCCTTACCACCCAACATCTTTATCAACGGTGCGCTTATAGTGCCCGCACCGGGAAACTGCGCGCCGGCGTTAGGAAGCGTACTATCAATATTCGTAGCAAGAAATACAGCCCCGCGCTTTATATAGTGGTACGCAAGCGCCAGTTTCAGATAGTTGATATGGAAATCGAGGCCCACAAGAACTACTCCAACTTCTGGATCGAATATTGAGGGGTCACCAGATGCGATTTTGTTAAAATCTTGCAATGTGATGTCGCGTCTATAGGAAGGGTCCGTGCCGCAGATGAAAGGGACGTTTTCGACCTTGAGTTCTTGCTCAATACCTGTTTCTCCTAGGACGAAGACTTTTTGCTTTTCGGGCGGGAGGGAGAGGACGCGGGAGATGTAGATTGAGGCGCTGTAGGAGGAGCAAAATATTTCTTCCTGCTTGGCTGTTAGAAACTGCGCAGTTTGTAAGATGGAGAAGAGGTGGTGTGAGCCTTACGATGTGCGCAGGAATTCCTAGACTGTCCAGTTTCTTTTTGTAGTCTGCACGGGATTTTGTGCTATTGTTGGTAACGAAGATGATTTGTTTCCCTGGTTATTTCCCACAAGCATTAGTGGTTGTCTGGTTCAAAATTCCCATATGGTGGAGATACATATTGCGTACCTTTGCTCCTTAGCATCTCCAACGTCTCAACCGCCCCCTCATATATAACATTTCCTGACCATAAGACACCTAGATATCAACCCTATATTCTCAGCATATGCTCTGGTTTCCAGCTTCGTTGAGCTCTGGATGCGACAGCGGGGGAGGGCATTAACTGACCATCGCAGTCAAACAAAAAAACCTAGAAAACGCGAACCATTATCAGCATATCAGCAATTAAGCCACTATTGCAAATACCCGTTGCTTATTTGAGGCAAGGGAAAGGAGAGAATTGCACAATGACAACAACGTGGGCGCATTTACTCACATCAAACCTGTCAAGAAATTCTTGGATAGCGGGCTTATCACCCGTAAGGTACTTAGGAGCTTCTGCCATTATCTAAATGTGAGCAAAATGGAAACAAACAAAAGCAGTTTTTCTCCTTTTTTTTTTTCTTGCTTTTTTTCTGTTTAAATGTGATGAGTTTGTCAAGACACAAATGTTCTTAAAAAATATGTCGAAGCTTGCGTCATTTGAAGATTTAACTACCAACAAGCGGCAACCCGAGTTCCTCGAGATTTGCTTACGGTTCGGCAAAGCGGGAAGTCAACGCCGAACCGCCAACCAAAGGAGAACCGCATAAAATAGCCCCTGAAGGGCACTTCTAAAAGATAGAATAATAAAATAAAAAAAGGACACCATTCTACAACTTGACAATTGTCATGAATCATAAATTGTATGTCATTGTGAGCATGATTTTCAATCAAGAGAACAAATCACACCTGGCTGCCTAGTATTTAGGTCATGTAGGCCGTGCTAATATTTCCGATATCCTCAATGCGAGATCTAGGATAGTAAGATGCTCGTCCGCGCCATCAATCAGCCGTTTATCAAACTCAGAGAATACCATAACAATGCTGTTCTTGTGGATGTCCTCTATAGAATCGTCAAACACGATAATTTGATACAGCTGTTCTCATCGCGTTAATTCACAGGAGTCATATCAAAAGATGAGTAGACAAAGGGATGCGTAACATACCTGTGTTAGCATCTGAGAAGCACTCCATCCATCTGCCACAATATCAGTAACCACCTTTGAAACCTCTTCATACGGCAAACGGGCTTTCTTCGGCTGCAGCGCCTTAACCAATCGGTTGACAATATCGTCCGGCACAACTCCCGCAATTTCCTCAATAGTCCTCACAGTAATCACACCTTCGTCGCCAGCATCAGCCATATCCTCATCCCCCCCTTCATCCTTACCCGGAGGTGGCTTAGATACAAGTCCAGACCCCACCAGCCTGGCCGCACTCTGCATGAAAGTAATAGCCCGCCGCAAATCCCCCTCACTACACCTTATCAATGTCTCAATACACCCATCAGCAAGCCTAAGTTTCTCCACCCTTGCAATCTCCTCCAACCTGCTCCCCGCAGCCGACCCATCCAGCGCCTTGAAGCGGAATTTACTACACCGGCTGGCCAACGGATCAATGATCCTCGTCACATAATTACACACGAGACAGAAGCGTGTGATGCGACTGTATCGTTCCATCGTGCGTCTCAGGGCCGACTGCGCATCCTGCGTCATGCTATCTGCCTCGTCGAGAATGATGATCTTGAAGGGCGGGCAGGGGTATTTTTCGCAATAGGCGGTGTCTGAGACGGGAGGATGGGAGAGTTGCATTCGTGCGAAGTCCTTTATTTTCTCACGGACGATGCTAATGCCGCGTTCGTCGGAGGCGTTGAGCTCCAGGATGCGGGAGCGGTAGAGTTGTGGGCCAAAGAGGGATTTGGAGAGGGCGAGGATTGTGGAGGTTTTTCCGGTGCCCGGGGGTCCATAGAAGAGCATATGTGGTAGCTTTATTTGTGATGGTATTAGCGTAAATGTGATTCTAGTGCAATGTTGTGGGAATAGGTTGGGAAAATAAATTGGTACGTAGGTACATTTGAAGCTTGTAATGTGCGCTGAAGGACGGTGATTGTATGTTCCTGAGAAGCTACATCGTCGAGTGTTTTCGGCCGGCTAGGAATACCTGGATTAGCAATGTCTCTTCATGACATGAAATCTGTGATAAATGTGATTGGCATACTATTTCTCAACCCATGGCTGCAACCTTGTATTATCCGCCTCTTTCTCTGAAGCTTTTGGTTTGGAATTGCCTATCCCCACAGCTGCTGCCCGAGCTTTGTTGCTGAAGAAATTTGACGACATGGGATTGATCACTCAAAGCTAAACTAAAGTCGCAATGATAGATCTGAAAGCAAAATCGGGGAATTGATTGGAAGGAGTTTCGGGAAATAAGTGTTTGTTTACGCCGTGTATCGACATCAGGAATCGGCAATAATTAATCTGCAGATTGAAGCTGAGGACTTGGCAAACGCGGGCAGAACGCGTGGATCACGTGCTGACCCGATTTCATTTCACAAGATTTTATCCTAATTCTCATCGCTCTGTGAAGATATCTAGGTATTTTCAAATCAGATGGAAGTATTCTGACGCATTAAGTTGGTGGGTTTGGTATAAACAAAGGCTGTTCATTTCCCACACATACCAGAAATGACACATTGTACAGGTTGTATGTTATCACATCATAATTCCAACTATTATGTATCTATGTAGTTTCTTGAAGACGGAAACATAGCCAAAATCCCTACCTCACAACTCATCCTTCTTCCGATCTTCCGGGATGTTCTCCTCATGCATCCTCTTCTTTGGATTCCGGGGCATTGCTTCCTGCCTCCGCCTCTCTTCAAGGGATATATCATCCACATTCGTTCCCCTTTCAACATTATCACTTTCCTTCCCAACTATCTTTTCTATTTTCTCTAATACATCTTCATTATCCGCCTGCGGAGTTTCCGTCTTCTGGCTATCCACAGCTGATGTCACGGCACCGTTTAGGGTAACTGTATGGGCCACAGATGACGATGCCACTGCAATAGTTGCCCCTGAAGTACGCAGCGATATCATTGAGGAGCCTTCCCCAACGCTACCGCCCGAGGAGTGTGAAGATGGAGATGTATTTGCCAATCCAATACCACCCAGAACCAGGAAGGCTGTTCGGAACGTCAGTTTCAGAGGCAACCAGAGAATCCACCAGAGCGGACCGTATAGTATGCGCCGGAATACAAGCCAGATGATAGTTCCAACGAGTATATAAAATGACGTTTCCAGATACCATGTATCCGACTTCTGCGAACGAAGAAGTGAAGATACGAGTGAACGCGATGAGGCGAGAAGACTGTCGAGGCTGCTGTATGATTCAGATAGCGAACGAAGTGCCGTGGTAGATTGCTCTAACATAGACAAGGACCACACGTCAATAAACGCTAAATTTTGCTCCCTTCCATTCCAAGCAACGGGGAAATACAAACCTAAAGTTTCCTGCGCAAACTGGCTTCGGGACAGCTCAGCTTGCATGAGTTGATGAGTCCGCCTCAGCGCAGATGTAACATCCTCCGAAGCACTGGCTACCAGATCGTCATGTGTAAAGCCGGGACGGCCCTTTCGCCGCACGCCTTCCCCACCCTCCCCCCCTCCAACTCCTACAAACAACAATTCCCTTTCTTTCCGCCTAGCAACCTCTGCATTTCGTTTCGCCTGTAACTGCGCCTTGCGAAATTGTAAACGAGCACTATCGTTATCGTCAGTTCCAGTGACAGATAGAACCCGCCAAAATATGTATATAAAGGTACATCACTAACCTCTTCAAATCCTCCTCCAACTTTCCAATAACCACCACCATCCTCTCCCTTTTTGCTTCCTTCGCGCCTCCGCTTCCCCACCTCTTCGTACTACTCCATGCAGCTTCCAACTGCTCAAGCTCAACATGCAGCAGCTCCATCTGCTCCTCCATCTCTTTTAGGCGGAGGTGGATCTCCGCACCTAACTCGAGCCGCGCATCGTCGCCAGTTCCTGCTGTGGCGGGGAAGTTCTGGAGCCGCTGGATTAGTTGGATGGTTTGTTTGTGTGCTGTCGAGAGGGAGGTTATGCGGGATTGGAGGCCGGCAGAGGCCATGCTGCTGGTGGTGTGGCCCTAGCCCTGGCCCTAGCTGTGGTGAGAGGGCACGGCGGAGAACGGGATGTAAATAATAATGATATTGAGGAAGTGCAGTAAAACAAGGTTTAGGTGTTTCGGGGTGGATGTTCTGCTGCTGATATGGGGAATTAGGCAGACAACCGTTTGTCAAATGAATAATAAATTAACTACCCCTCAATGATCGACATAAATTCTGAAATTAGCCACTCATCTGCTCAAACCGTGCCCATGGATCTGTCCTGTTGCTTGTCGGGTTAAATAAAAAAAAAAAGTTGAGGATGTTTATATGCGTCGTCATCCAGATTATGGAGAAGCAATGTTTGACAGCAATGCAAACACCACGGTCCATCTAGTCTCGGCATTTCGACACCACCCAAAAAGTTTCAAGTCGCACTGCGCTGAACAGGAGCGAGCAGCTGAAAAGATACCTGATTCCTTCACACATCCTGTCTGCTCAAATTCTTACAGAAAACACTCGCCTTGTCTCTTGTCTCGTATACAATTAAGCTAATATCTCTATTAAACTTCCTCTCTCTCACCACAATCCACCTTGCAACGGCTGATTCCAGACTGGGGAACATCCATTCTTTTCCCAACCTCCGCAGTCAGGAGCAAAAGCGTTTGCAGACGCGGCATCGTACATCTCCCCATACATACCTCACCTCAATTACAAGAAGAAGAAGAAGAAGATAGGGGGAATCCAGCTCCCGTATTCTACGATAGTTAGAAAGTACGCTCCTTCTAATCCACCTAATACCGCCCTCATCGCAAGCACGTCACTAACATCCCTCCCCGCAGCTACCAAAAAAAAAAAAAAAATGTCCATCCCCCTTCACACCATAACATCCCTCCGCACCACCTTCTCCCCCTTCAGCCCCTTCTCCAAGTCCTGCCGCCTCTTCATCTCCCTCCTCCAAAACCCCTCAACGGCCAACCCCGCCTCGCCCACACATATCAACATCGACATCACCCAGTTGCCGCGAGGGTCTAAGCAACTACCTGAGATGACGGTGGGGTTTAAGGGTGGCAAGGAGTTGAGGTTGGAGGTTGGCAGGCTAAGGATGGGTTTTAAGGATGTTGTGGAGGAGGTAGGGAGGATTGGAAGGTTGTTGGCGAAGGAGGAGAGTTTGAAGGGTGATGGGCAGCGGGGGAACACCGGGTCTTCGTGAGTGTGGGTGTTGGAAGGCGTTTTTGGTCTATGAAGGGATGTGTGGGTTGTAATTTGGCTATTTTAAGAATTCTCGGGGGTTTGGTGGCCAGATCGGATTGGGAGGGGACGAACTGAGATATGCAGATGGGGGAGACAGCGAGAAAATAAGCGGAGCGTGGAGTGAGTGTCTTTTGCGATTGAAATAGAAGAAGAAGAAAGTTTTGTATAGAAGCCATCGGAGGCGATTTGGAAATGGCAATCGATTATCGATATTGTCAGGAACATGTATATATATATCATCATAGATAACGGAATGATAACGGAATAGGACGTCTGTGGTTAACATCTTTGATTATTTACTACCTAATTTATAATTCCCCATCCCAGAATCGGCAGGGAAATCTATAAAGACGAAGCAGTGCTGTAAGCATGCTATATAATTCTAACAATCCGGCACAGGATATGCTAATTTTCCCACCTCATCCCAGAATAATAATGGATTTCCCCAGGCAACCCGCAACATCCCCAGAAACACCTCCCAAGAAGATCGAGTCCATTATCCCAAGATGCAAAGACGACTAAGAGAAAAACGAAGAAAATTCACCGAAAAGAAGAACACCATTTTTTATATTTCTATCAACATCCACAACGTGGTATTTACCTAGGCAGTTTTTATTCGAACCGAACCCGTTCCTCACAACAGTCGGTGTGACCTGGTTAAACAAAAATGCTCTCAAACACTCCGAACAGAGGCCACCGAAATGCCCAAAAGCGAAAGCATTTAGTTAGCTATGTGCGTGTTTGTATGGATGGATGATGTCTTTTTCTCCTACCATGCTTCCACCAGAAACAAAAAGGAACAGGAGTTTCCTCAGCTTCCTTTTTTAATCCAGAGAGCAAGGTAAAAATAAAAGACGATTGGCATTAAAAAAAAAAAACGGCGGGAACACGTGGACAAAACCGAAAAAAAAAAGAGAGATTTAAACAGCAGCACCGGAGATGAAAAACCACTTATCGACACTCCCGTCGATGGGGGCGGGGGGAAGGTTTTGACCATCTGGAAGGTTGACTTGCTTGGAGTCCACCCAATCTGATGATTGCTCGCTGGTGGTGTTTGCGCTGGACATTATTTATTAGCATTGTTGGGGAGACTGCGTGTGGACGGCACTTGATCCAATTGTGATATAGAAATAGAAGATATACATACAGAGAGATATCGCCGCGATTACTCTTGCCGCTCATTAGTTTCTCCCAAGCATCAGCGCACTCATGGACCACCTCCATGGCGTACCTGATAGAAAGTGTTAACAAAATGTAAAAGAGATCAAACGAGAAAAAGAGAAGGAAAACGAAGTACGCACTTCTTATTCTTACACTCTCCAGAAAACGCGAACTGATTCTCGGGCTTTCCATCTGGAATCTTATAAATACGGAACCACTCGTTCGTCGCCCTCAGCAGACCGGGCAGATGACGCTCGACATCCTCAATGTCATTGAGCTTAGGTGCAAGCGGGTCATTGATATCGATGACAATGATTTTCCAGTCCGTTTCTTCCTCGTCAAGCAGGGCCATAACGCCGAGGACTTTGACCTGCTTGACCTGGCCAGTGTATCCGACCAGCTCGCCGATTTCGCAGACGTCAAGCGGGTCGTTGTCACCTTTTGCTTTGGTTTCTGGGTGAACAACGTTGGGGTCTTCCCAGGTCTGTACATTGGGATTTTCGGTTTAAGTATATAGGGATTGTCATCTAGGTGATACAGAGAATGGGTAAAATACTCACGCGAGGGAAGGCTCCGTAGTTCCAGAGGTAGCCCTTATGGGGGAAGCAGTTGCGGACGTAGCGTAGCTTGCCTTTCTTCACATCCTGCTTGATTGGGTTGAGGAATTCCTCCTTGGAGATCTAATAAATGCAATACGTCAGTCATTGTTGTTTTGATTTGTTTTCCCAGATTTATATCTTCAACTTCAACACCCCCCCTTCCTCTCCACCCAAAAACAACAAGCAACGCCCCAACCACGAATGAAAATATCAAACTCAATCCAGCCACGCCAACCGAACTTCCAAAAACACACACACACACACACACACACACAGCACACAGCACACGGCACACGGCACACAGCATACGCGCATACCTCTAACTTAGCATTTGTCCAGCGAGGGATCTCAACAACCATATTCAGGATGGTCTGCTGCTCATTGGCATAGAGCGGGATATCATGAAAAGGCGACACGGGCTGGCCATCCTTTTCGATGTAGGCACGGAAATCGAGGGTCTGTGGCTGGCCGACCTTGCGGACGGTATATTCAGAGGGGGATTTCGCGTATGACATATTGTTATTGGTGTTGCCGTTGGCAGCGGAGGTCGACGAGAAGTGTCTGGACAGGAGAGCCGCACGATTCACAGGCGAAGAATGGCGGTGGGCAGGTATTAATTGGGTATTATGGATAGAGGAGGAGAGGAAAGAAGATGGTGAAGAAAAAGAGGAAGAAGGAAATGAGGACGATGAATAAAAAATTGAAGAATTAGATGCAGAGGAGAAAGAAGCGGAAGAAAGGGAAGCGGAAGTAGGGGGGAAATGGGGAAAAGAGAGGGGGTTTGGGTTGCTTTTGGGGGGAGCCAGCTTAGTAGATGATGGCGGAACCAAACAAGATCGAGGACGACCGGCACCAACAAAGACAACGGCAGATTCTGCCACTGATGATGCGCGCTGCACGCTCTGCAGGTTTCTAGTTGTGGGAAATGGCCTCAGGCAGCGGGATCGGGCTACGGGAGAGATTAATTGGCTGAGTGAAAACAGTCGGAGCAGGACTGTTTGCGCCAGAACTGTGGACATGTGGCAAGGCGGCAGAAGATTTCTTGGTTTGAATGGCTGTTGGGTGTTTGGTGAGAGACTCGGGAAAAAGAGGGGATATTTTAAAGAGAAGGGAAGAGAAACACAGTAAATCTGGGTTTGGTTGACTCAGATTAAATTTTTCGGTTGGTTATATTATTATTATTATTATTATTATTATTATTATTATTATTTTATTTTTTTTGGGCTGGGTGGTACGGGCTTTTCGGGAACTGAGTTAAATACTTTACTGGTTGCTCCAATTTGCAGAAGAGCCGTCAATGATGCGCAGTGGGGAATTGTTCCGAGGGTGTTGAAGCTTGCCGGGAGAAAAAACTATACTGAGGGTCTCATTTTTTTTTGTTTTATTTTATTTCTATATTTACTCCTTTGTTATTTAGACAGTGACCGAAGACTGCTGATATTGCGATTCAAAGCTTCTTCATGCTACGGTTTGCCCTGCAACCGATAACCAACTACAAAATTAGCTCTCCCTTGGAGAAGTCTGTGTAGCGCCTGGAATGAATGCCCTGCAACCGTTGATCGGAATTGACAATTACCCCACTAGTTAATCCACTACAGAGTTACTTATTTGATTGTAAGGCCAGTGTGCTATTCTTATATATCTGGAGAGTTAATTTTAGTAAGGTGTAAATGTCGGGGTAAAGGCTTGGAACTATCATATCAATCAATTCTTCTCTCCAATACGACATCAACACTGATGAGATTTCAATGGAAGATATTATTTCAAAAGCATTTCAAACATATTTCCAGGTTTAGACAACTCAATGTATATCAGACATCAAATATCGAATTTTCAAACGCAGGGAAGATACCAGGAAACGTTTACGAGATTCGCAATCGGATCAATTTGGAAACCGTCAATTTGGAGAGGAGAGAGAGCCACAATAACCAATACTACCTGGATACTCTGTAATAAAGCATTTGGATATCTTGACCCACTAGGATAAATCATCGTGCCATTAATGTAATTGTGTTCCACACGTTGGAATTTCAGATGCTTCGATTAAATTTATTCCAGTCCTGGAAATAAAATGAATGTCACGTGATAGATAAGCTTATCACCACGTGATTCGGATACAGATTTGCCTGTTTCGGCTTCTTCCCTGGCAACGTTTTCACTTCCAAGTCAATCGAACAATCCTCCGCTTTCTTTTCCTCCTCTCTGGGATCAGCATAAAACACACTCTCCTACACCCTCACTGGAGCCTTCTCTTTCATATCCCCCGACAATGCCATGTTCAAAAATTTTCTACAACTAATCATGGGCTCAATCGCAAAAACACCACCTTTCCCTTCCTCCCCTGCCCCCAGCCCCTCTCTGCCCCCCCGCGTCCCCATCCCCCAAAATGGCGTCGACTATCGCGGCAAAATTGTTCTCGCTCCCATGGTCCGCTCAGGCGAACTCCCCTCCCGCCTTCTCGCCCTCAAATACGGCGCCGATCTCGTCTGGGGCCCCGAAACAATCGACAGAGCCCTAATCGGCTGCACCCGCCAAATAAACCCGCGCACCTCAATGATCGAATTCACTCGCCTTCCCTCCAACGGTGGCTGCCAAAACCCAGCCAAACCAAACCAAACCCCGCCCAAAGAATCCATAATCTACCGCCTCGACCCACACCGCGAACGCGGCAAACTAATCTTCCAAATCGGCACCGCCTCCCCCATCCTCGCTGTCGAAGCGGCCAAAATCATTGCTCCAGACGTTGCAGGCATAGACGTGAATGCAGGATGTCCCAAACCCTTCAGCACAAGCGGCGGCATGGGCGCCGCCCTCCTCCAAAAGCCCGACCTGCTCGTATCAATCCTTACCGCCCTCGTCACAGAAGTAGGTGCACCCCACCAAATCAGCATCTCAGTGAAGATCCGTCTCCTCTCTGACCCGGAACGGACACGCGATCTCGTCACCCGCCTCTGCGCGACAGGCATAACTGGATTAACCGTCCACTGCCGCACGACACCTATGCGCCCGCGCGAGCGCGCCATCCGCGACCAATTACCCATGATTGCATCTATATGTCGGAATGCGGGGGTTGCAATTCTGATGAATGGCGATGTTGAATCGCGCGACCACGCACTCAAGCTGATGAAGGAGTATGGCGTTGATGGCGCGATGATCGCGACGAGCGCGGAGGCCAATTCATCCTGTTTCCGCACAGGCGGTCAGGGCGGCTTGGTACACTGGCGCGAGCTGGTGCGAGAGTATATGGATTTATGTCTGCAGTGTGAGAATAAATGGGGGAATACGAAGTATTTGCTCAACATGCTTATACCGGGCAAGGAGAAGATGTTTAATGCGGCGAAGATGTCGAAGTCGTATCGGGATTGTTGTCGGGTGCTTGGGTTTGAGGAGTTGGTTGAGAGGGCGAAGATTGTTGATGAGATTATTGGGAGGATACCGGATGATGAGAATGGGGAAGACGGCGCTGATGTCAGTAGTGGGAAGAGGAAGAATACGAGTAGGACTCCCCCGGTAAAGAAGGCGATATTGACGAATGAGAGTGCCAAGGCGGCGGGAATTGGTGGCGGTGCTGGCAGCGTTGACTGTAGAGGGGTTACGAAGTCGAGAAGCTCTCCTGTTGTGCTGGATGCAAATTCGAGTACTCCCGATGCTGCTGTTGTCATGGATATGGCTGCTACCCACCCGCCTGCTGTGGAGAATGCTCCTGTTGCAAGTCCTCTGCATGGGTGATAAGCGTTGCTTTTACTTCGTTCGATACCCCCTCTACCCCTTACCTAGGTACTTATTTACCCCTTACCCGCAGTGCCAGTTGCGACATCTCTTGTTCTATTATCCAGCGACTTAGACTACCATATATGCATGCATGCTATCGGCGTTTATTTTAGATGAGTGTCTTTTGATTTGTTTTGGGTCTTCTGGTAAGCCCAGCTTCTTGGTGCAGCTTACGGAGGAGAGTGTTCACCCTGTGTGTGTCCAGGTGGTGCGGGTAGGACATTTACCAGCTCCAGGGCATTACTGATATACAAATATCATAATTTTTCTTTCTTGATTTAAGACTTCGTGTGAGGGAGGAGAGAAGAAATCCTGGAGACAACAAAACCTTCAAAGGACTCGAAGTCACTCCCAATTATTGAAACCCATCTACTTTTTGATATGAATTTGAAAACGACTCGCCAAATTGCCATGAGTTCACATTAATGAACCGAGTTAACTACCCTCCATGAGTGGTTGGCACGAAACGGAGAAAGTATCCTTCCATTTTCCAAAACCCCCCCCCCCCCCCCCCCTTTTTTTTTTTTTTTTTTTAATTCATACCATTTCTTGATTCATATAGACGATGCATCATTCCAAACTCGTCCCCATGTTCATATCTATTTCACCAAATTTGTTTGTTATTCATATCTACCTAACTTCAACGTAGGCATTTTACATATAATATGTTCGTGTTTTCCAAACGACCCCCATCATCCAACGCATCTCGTGCATACTATCATGCATATACACATCACCAGCCATCAACAATTTACAAAACAGACGAAAGAGAGCAAGGGAATAACTTAATAACTACACCTCCTTCCTTGTCCATGTGGGTCATCGCACCGGCCATTAAACGGTTTCGTGCTTGAGACAAAGCCCTGGGAGAGTGTCTGCATCTCAGCCGAAGAAGGAGAATCCTTAGGAGGCAGCCCATTCGTGCTGAGCGCATAGGTGGCAACAACATACGCAGTCGCTTGCGTGTTCATCAACCACGCCTTCTTACTGAGGTTGTCCACAGTATCGCCAACACCATGATAGTTGGGATCATAAGCTTCACCGGCAGTACCGCCAAACCACTCTGCCTCCTGCTCAGACTTGATGCCTTCAGCACCCGTGAAGACACCTCCAGCCGGGATGCCAACGGAGATAAACGCGTCGTAATCGGATCGTCCATCGAACTCGGATGGGACATGATTTTCCTCGCGATCCTCGTAGAATTTTTGCAGGAGTTTCTCGATCTCTGCGCTGCCGGCGGGGCCGGTGAGATTGAAGCTGGATCCGTCGCCATCGTAGATCTGCGTGGCATAGTTGGGTGAGGCGGTCATGTCCATGTTCAGGTACAGACGGATTTTCTCACGCTCCTCTGTGGAGAGGCTGTCAACGTAGTATTGAGATCCGAGGAGACCGTATTCTTCTGCTGTCCAAAAGAGGAACCGGACGGCGTTGGGGACCTTGAATTTTGTGAGTGCTTTGGCCACGACAAGGTTGCCGACGATGCCTGAGCCGTCGTCGTTGATTCCAGGGCCTGGAGGTTGGATTTGGTCAGAGTAATCTTTAATGGTGTTGCTCTGTGCTTGTGGGTGGTGGGGGTGAAAATGTTCACGTATATACGACATGTTCTTACCAGCTTCAACTGAGTCTGAGTGACCTCCAACAGCAATGACGTTGCTTTTATTCCCCTGCTTTGATGTCGCAATGACATTGAACCTACGACGCATATGAAACGTCAATTTATCCGCTCAATGGTTATTATTACCTTAAATATCTAGAACACTTACGTCGTGCGGTTCTGGAACTCCGATTTAGTGAACAGTTTGCCGGTCAGCTTCTCGGATACCACTCGGGTAGCCAGGTCGTCTCCGATTTCCTTGGAAAGCCCGACGGTTGGGGGATAGGGGCCAGCAGGGTTGACCGGGTCACCCAAGGTTCCTGAAAGCGGGCCAGGGATGTTGTTGTAGATGAGAGCTCCGACAGCTTTAGCTGCGCCAGCGTGGGCAGCCTTGAGACCGAAGGGGCATGTGCCACGGACAATGAGAGCGATTTTGCCGGCTACCCTAGCTGGGAAATCCTCCTTCAATTTTATATGTGTTGGCTCTGATATACCTTTTACTTGCTAAAAATATAACCGGAATGTCACTTACGGGCGCGCATCCAAGGTTATTTACCAGGACAATATCCTGCTCCGTATTCCCTGACGGACTGTATGTCATCGGAGAAGCTTCCTTCGACTCTCCATTGACAGTCAAGGTAGCCTCGGATCGGGACCACAAGTGAACCTGTTTCTGCTTGACTACATCATAGTACTGAGATTCCTGGAGCTCCTGGACGAGCCAGTCGACAGTGTCATTGTGAGCTGTGCTTCCGAAGACACGATTCCGCTCAGGAGTTGCGTATGCGATGGATTGGAGTTTTCGCGCTCCTCTCATGAGCTCCTCTAGTTCAATGCCCTTCACTAATGCTTTCTATATTCGACACAGGGGAACGTTAGCATCTAACCTCTTGCAATGCACATGCGACGCATGACGTCGCCTTGTCACCTACAGTCGAAAGCTTAGCGTTGCCGCCGCCGGGACCACCACGGCCTCCATCGATTTCTTGTTCATGGACTTCTTTGACAGCAGGAACCCCGGCACAAACCAGACTGCCTCCCAGAGCAGCCCCAAGGACAAGTAGTTGGGCCTTCATGTTGTGCAAGGCCAGCGGATTGAATCTCCAGCTAGCGCTTGAGAGTTTCAATGTAGAAGGAGAAGAAAACAAACGTTGGGGGGGGGGGGGGGGGGGGGGGAGAAAAGAGAGAAAAATAGAGAGAGAAATCTCAAAAACACCAACCCTTTTCTGTCCAACCAGAAGAAGGCACGGGGGGAAAGAGGGAAAGGACGATATTCCGAGAGTTTTATATATGTTTTTGGTGTGTCGCAACAGTCGGGATGCGGGGACAGCCGTAGTCTGTGAAGCTATGGATACAACCAAAAAGCTCTGGCATCGTTGATGGTGCCTGATCTGGTGAGAGAGGGAGATATGCCTCCACTCGCTCTCTACCATACGATAACCCATCCCTTGCACGGCATTAGCACCAGAAACCAAGGGCAGCTGGTAGTGTAGATGATGTACTGGACATAAGCCATCTGGGTAATCAGGTATGATTCGGTTCATGTGATTTTTATTTAACGGGCTTCGGGGGAAATCAATTGCATGGTTTTCCGGGAAGATGACATATATACATCATGGGAACTAGAGGTGGAGAGATGACCCAGTATTGCGCCTGACAGGGACCAAAAGTGGACTGTTGTAACGCGATTCCTGAGAAATATTTAAGATAAATGTGTAATGAAAATCATTTTTAACCTTGGCCGCCGGTCTGGGGAAACCCCGGGTCTAGCGTCGGATGCCACGAGTGGAATATTCAGGTTAGGTATAATAATAACGATATGCAGCCAGCGGCCAATAACAGCAGAAGCTTAGCATCAGACGTCCCCTGTTGAAGGGATTCACTCTCCAAATTAAACAAAGACCGGGGGTCAGCAGAGGCGAGTCTGGGGCATTGTGTTCAGTCCCACTCCAGAAAACGCTCTTCCGCCGGCGGCAGAAGTCTTTCCATAGCCATCCATGCCCTCAACAACCCTTTGGAACAAAGGCCCAAAAACAAGTTCAATCGCGCTTCATCCTGCCAAGCCACAACGTTCCATTGGCTTAGGGAGCCTCGGCTTTAACAGTCAGACGATCGAACAGCACTTGGTCCTGGGAACTTCGCGCTGGGAAGCGCAGAGCGAATCTACAAGGAGGACGAAGACGCGAAACTTACAGCAAGAAAAAGAAATAACGGCTGAGATGCCATGCGGGATCGGCGTGAGGCCATCAGCCTGTTTGCAGATCATTATCGTCACATTTGATATAAGCAAAGTCCTGTTAGTTAATTCCAGTGGTTGTTCATGTCTACGAGTGAACCGCTTGAGTCCTGGATCGGGATGAATTCTTTTCTGAAGAGAGATAATAGTCTGTTTGTTTCCTCTATTTCCCCTCTTTTTTTTTTTTTTTGTCTCCAGTGCGGGGGAACAAGATATCATTGCAGGATTCCCTCCCTGGCCTTATCCTGTTATCCTATCCCCATCCGTCCCCCTTATTATGGTGCACAAGCATATTTTTCTGCCGTCTGAAGCCGGGAGCCCCGCAAGGAACAAGCACATTGCTAACATCCTAGGGTTGTTACACTAGCCAACACTGAAGCAAACTAATAGTATACGGTTAGCGAGGCACCGAATATCCTCATCATTGTCATTGATGTGATTCCGATAATACCAAGTGGAAGTTTGTCGTTGTCTGCATGATGTACCCGGGTTTCTGCGTAACCATATGTAGTTCTATCACAGCTAGACATTCCCAAAGAGAAAAAAAAAGGAGAAGGGAAGGAAACAAAGAGACCCAGTGGCGAGTCATCGTCGTTCAATTCATCTAGAAGTGGTGCAATGTAACGATATCAAAAATTAAAAAAAGGCCTGTCAGGCCCGCCAGCACAGTTTGACGGTGTCTGAGCTGTTTATTCCAGCCTTTGATCCACTCCAGTGCCCCCCTGTATTTACGTTGAATAATCAAGGACAGCCCCCAAGGTTTAAACTCGGCATAGATCTGCATATGATGATTGATGGGAGATTAAGAAGTGTGTACCCTATGCCGCCCCGCAAAAAAGGATCATTATGGAGGCTGAAGGATGGAAAAACAAATATAGTTAGATTGGATTGCGGATCTTCTGCCGCATTTGTCTATTTTCGGTTTCTCTTCATTTCTTCCACTGCATATACGGTGTTGCATCATCATCTAGCTAATACACAGCAGAACACGGCGCACTGCAGTCTAGACTTCACATGTAGAAATACTTGGTAAGTAAAATGGAAAACATGAGTGAAATACCACCCGCAATTATTTGGAGAGGAAAGTTGCAGTTATGCGACCGCTAGCTATCCGAATTCTTATCTCCACTGTATACACCGTCTGCAATCTCTTTTTTTTTTTTTTCTTCTCCATATTTCACTATTGCAGAACACTTTATTAGTTACCTAGGCAGTATGAGAAGAATTGTGGGAGTTAATCCCCATGTCCAAATCTATGCTCACTTGCCATCACCTAATTTTAGTCGACAAAAGCACAAATATCAAACAGACAAGTCTAATCCGATGCAATCTCCACTAGGAGGATAGCATAAAATAAAGCCAGTAAAGGGAATACAATACTCCTGCAATGGCAATGTCCGAAGAGTGACAAGCATTAACACCAAACACGAAGAGAGTAAACGGGAACTCGATAAACACTGTGCGTCAAAAAAGCGGGAGAGGTGGGAAATTGGGATGGAACCAAATCTAAATCTTTCAACGATCTTTAATATCAGAAAATGGTCTTGAGTTTTCCATTTCTCTTCTTTTTCCTCTTGCTTCCTCTTCTTTTCAAATATAGTCAATGGGGGTGGATTTTCGGGGATTGAAAAGTAATTTGGTAAAAGCCCAGGGGTATATGACAGGGATAATAAAGTAGGAAAGGCCCAGAGGTAATAGTTGGCCGGCAAGGGTGTGGGAGTGACCTAAAGAGACGATAAGACAGCTTCCAGCCAAAACCTGGAGTAAAGGAATGACGAATGCGCTCATTTCCCTGGCGGTGCACCGCACGAGCATGGATATCGACAGAACAAGGACACCCACAACGCCGTGACACGAGGAATGAGGATACAAATAGACCCATCCGAAATTGCGACAAAATCCGACAAACATATCAAGATCCTTCTAGCTCTGCAATCTCATTCCCATCCCCCTTCCTCTTCTTCTCATCCTCCTCTGTAAGCTTCGCAATCACCATCTCCTCCACAGCCTTCAACCCGGCCTCCTCGCCCTTCTTCCCAGCACCAGCACCAGCACCTCCATCATACTCCCCAGAAACCCGCTGATCAAGCGCCAGCTTCGTCTGGCCCAGCGCATACATCTGTTCCTCAATCGTTCCCCTCGTGACAAGGCGCACAACCTCCACCTCTCTCGTCTGCCCTACACGATGTGCGCGATTCTCCGCCTGCACGTCCTCCTGAGGATTGAAACTGGAGTCGAAGATTATAACTTTATTCGCGCACGCGAGGTTAACACCCGCACCCCCTGCCTTGGTTGACAGGAGGAAGACGGGGATCTCAACCTGCTCGTGGAACGCGTCGAGGATAGCCTGGCGATCCTCGACGCTGGTGCTGCCATCCAGCCGGAAGAAGGGCATCTGCACCGTCTGAAGGACGTGCTCGAGGATATCCATGACCATGGTGAATTGGGAGAAGATTAGGGTGCGGTCGCCGTTTTCTTTGAAGCGACGTAGTAGTTCACAGAGCTTGTCGACCTTGCCCGATTGCATCCACTCATCATTTTTAAGGACGAATTTGGATAAGGCGGTTGGGTTCTGTTCGCAGAGCGTATGTACCTCGAAGTCGTTGTAGGCGCAGAGTTCCAGGTATATCTGGTCCGGGTCTGAGGCAGCCCATTTCTCATCTTTTAGGCAGGCCTTGGAAATCCGACTTAAGGTTTTGTCATCGTAATGGCGCCGGTAGAACAGGGGGTGGATGGCGGCTTGGCGCAGCTTCATTAGAATATTTGATGACTTGTTGCCGACCATTTTTCCAGCGGCTCGATCCGCAACGAGTTGTTTGGCCGTTTCAACTTCGCGAGTATATACTTCCTTCTGAGCCTCGTTCATATCGCAATACTCCACACTCGTGATTTTGGGTGGCAAGTCAATCACTTGATGCTTCTTTCTGCGCAGCACAAATGGCGTGAGCATGGATTTTGCACGAGCAATTCGCTGTGCAGAGAGCAGAGCTGTATGCGAGTCGTCAACCGTCTTGGCTTTGGCACTAAAAATGTACTCAAGATCTTCTTTTCGCTCTCGAAAGACTGAAGGTAGGATGAATCCAAGTAGTGAAACTAGCTCCTGGAGGTTGTTCTGCAGGGGAGTACCAGTGAGCAACAGTCTGAACTGAGCTGGAATGCGGATAAGTTTTTCGTAGAGCTGGGACTTGCTGCTCTTCAACATATGACCCTCATCATACACACATACACAAAAGTCCATGGAACGAAGGAATTGAGCATCTATCTTTGCCTTTGCAATAGTGTATGTCGTAACGACGACGTTGATAGAGTCTCTGGTATCTTCGATTTGTTGGCGAATCTCAGCACGAATGGTTTGGTTGGCGTAATACGGCATGACATTCAGTTTTGGGCAAAAGACGGAGAATTCACGAAAGCCAATTCTCCAAGGTTGAAGAGGGCACCACCACAAGATGAGGTCCCTTCACCCCTTTCTCGTAGAGATGGGCCAGGAACGCTATGACTTGACATGTTTTGCCCAATCCCATGTCATCTGCAAGAATGCAGCTCAAACTCTGCTCGAAAAGGAGGCTCAGCCAGTTGATTCCCACAATCTGGTAATTTTTCATGGTGATCGATTCGCTCATTATTGATGGTTGACAAATAAACTGTTGCTTCTTTCGTGAATAGCTGGGTTTAAGGTCGTCGTCTTCCACACTAGATGAGTGGTGGCTGGACGGAGTACCAATTGCAGAATCATGGATCTTTTCTGGGGTATTATTGTTATCCAAGGAGAGTATGTCAAGCTCGCCTTCTATTTTTGCCCCGAAAATATCCACGCCCCATCGTTTCATCTCGTCTGCAATTGGCTTTCCCAGCGCCTCGCATTTAGAGACGAGAGCATCTACAGCTTCATAGCCCGTCCACATGTCAAGACATTTGTCAACAACCTTGTCCCCAATGCGCTTCTTAGCATACCTTTTCGATTTGCCATTTTAAGCTCTTTCCGTTCTCGTCGTTGTCGATGATTTGACGAATGGGAGTCCAGAGATGTGAATGGGCCGTTTTTGAGAGAATATTTATCTGCAATACTCTCCTGGATTTCGGCATATCAGCTAGATCCACCCACAGAACATGTATTTGAAAAATGTGAGAACTTTTTGTTTCCAAAACACGGCCGTCCTCATATTCTTCGGGTTTGTCTGATTCGACGAATCGATATCGATTACAGAAGGTTCTGGGGAATTCTGGACGGCGGTTGAATTTTACTTTCCCTTTATGCTTCTATCAAGGTT